ACTAAAACCTGTTTTGATGGTTTCTTATTGTTTCTGCTTGTTTGGTGAGTTTGCAAAAGTTTTTGAAAGGAAAGTCTGACGCGTACAATCAGCTCATTTACATAGTGCAGTTCGTGCACTTTCAAGTCCGAGTCCGTGTTTTCAATTGTCAACAAATCTTGACAAGGATTTCTTTCGTTATCTTTTGTGCTGAGGTGCTGTAACAAATTTCACGAACGCAAAAAACGCTACTAACATCATGTGTGTTTCTTCAACAAAATTGGTGCTTGGCATTAATTTATTCCTATATCTATTGTAGTCCTCAAAGTGCCGTAATCTTCTTTTGGCATGGAATTTACTTTACTCTATGTTTTATTGTGCTGTAAGTGTTTCAGTTTTTTATGAATAAATAAGAGCCATTAAAAAAAATCTATTATTCGCGTCCTCAAATTCGTGAAGAAGATGTTTGGTCTTGTAGAAGGTCATCAAGACTACATAAACTTAAACTAATGACTAAAACAATAGTTTACAACAAAGATCTTCAGGTGTCGGTTTCCGAGTGTGGCTCTATATTCCCAATTATCTGCGGAGAGAGTACCACAATCGACCAACCAATCAATGAACCACAATCACGATAGACTGCTGGCAGGCTGTTTTTCTCTCGAAATTTCAGCAGGGGTAATGGATCGAGACTCTTTAGCCTTCTTCCCTATTCGACCATACCGACCTTGTCCCGCCTTCTTCCCTACTCGGCCACCGCCACACCGTCCTTTTGTGTTCGCGATGACTAAAACTCTCGTCTAAGTGACCCATAGAGAAAACACCGGCTGCCAGCAGACTACAATAACGATATCAACAATTAACTTTTCCTGTAAACAAAATATTTTCGGTTAAACGAGACCGACTAAAACGTGTCAAGTAATGTGATATCTTTATAGTACATTGTCTAATTTTCAGAATCCTACCGTCAAAATACCTCAATTGTTTAGTAAATAAAAATCAATGAATCAGTGAGTCACCCCTGTCTTACAAAATGTTAATGGTTAACCTTTGATGAACTAATCAACTGGCACCGAACAACCGGTAACCGTAATTTTCAACTTCAAGGAAAGCTAAGTACCAGTCCTAGGAAAGGTGATTTTTATGTACGCAGCTGAATCTGGCTAATTCAAACTCGGTTATTTCGAATTCCCCGTCATTTCGAACTCAAAGTCATTTCTCATGGATTTGCTCATCGGTCATTTAATTTACCATCAGCTTCAGCTATTTCAAAACTCCGCTACAGTTAAATCCCGTTAATTCGACAGAACTCGGTTATTTCGAATTCCCCGTTAGTTCCAACTCAAAGCTATTCCTTCAGATTTGCTCTTCAGCATTTACTATCGGCTTTTTCAAACTTCCGCCACAGATGCACCCCCACTTATTCGAACTCGGTTATTTCAAACTCTCCGTTATTTCGAACTCAAAGCCACTTGCCTTGGAATTGTTCCAAATAGCAGGACTCAAGTGTATTATCGTGAAGAAAAAGAAGTAAAGAATCAGCAAAATAGTGACCGCTGTTGCCTTCCAAAACTAGCCTACCGAGGTACTTCAAGTCATTAACGACTATTATGATCAAATTTCATGTATTGAGCATTGGCATTGGAAACCAGGATATCGGATTCTCTTTTAAAACTAGACCTTGCCAGTTTTAAATTGGATACTTGTGCAGATCATCAGTATCTGATCAGGCCAAGTAAAATAGCGTGCAATATTGACCAGATGTTGCCCCATTGAGATAACAAGAAAGGGAAAATTCAAGGGGAATATTTTTGAAATAGAAAACGCTATACTGTATTTAAAGAGCCTTTAAGTGATATCTGCACTGCTGTAAAACCTTAGCTCAGACAATTCGTCGCACTATTGTGAATTCGAAGGCATCTCAATACATTATTATTTTTTTTTTTGCGATTTTGGCCAGAATACTGTCATGCAAAATATCAGTTTGCCCGCTGAGCACGCTTTTCTTGTCCGTGTAATTTACCAGCAGGAAGTAAACGATTATTTTGATCAAATTTCGTATAATTAGCATTGATATTCGAAACCAGGATATCGTATTGATCACGTATTTATTTATTTATTTCAGTCTTCACGATGACCCACGAGGTAATGCCGGAACAGGGCTTCTGATCAGTTGACAGCTAACGGAAATTGAAGCAAAATTTCTCAAAGAAACTGAAAGGAATTTGTCAGTAGAAACAGAAAGGTAGTTGTACCATCCTTGAACTCTGAATTAGTTCTGAACCGCATTTCAGTTCCGCCATCACGAAAGGCTATACATTTCACCGTTTCACAATTGGAGGAGAAAGCGGAGCACTTGCCATTCTGTAGATGAACAGGGAGGCGGTCCATTTTGTAAATGAATGTCGAGATCTCGCGATAAGTGAGTAAGTGTTATCTGCACTGTTGTAAAACCTCAACTCAGACAATTCGTCGCACTATTGTGAATTTAAACGTATCTCAATACATATTTTGCGATTTTGGTCAGAATCCTGTCATGCAAAATATCAGTTTGCCCGCTGAGCACGCTCTTCTTGCCCCTGTAATTTACCAGCAGGAAGTAAACGATTATTCTGATCAAATTTCGTATATTTAGCATTGACATTCGACAGGATATCGTATTCATCTAGTTTTCGTTATATACTGCAGGTAGATTTTGTTGTTTCCATACAATCTTTCATCGACGTAAAATGAGTAGCAGTACCCTGTTGGAAGTGTTTGGTCAAATCGTGTTCCGCTTCACGCGTGGCGTAACGGAGCATTACAATCCAGAAGAACCTGAATTCACGATGGAGTCATTTGGTTACGATCCTCTGCAAAGCACTGGGCGAGAGTGGTATTATCTTCCTATTGATGAGCTCATTTACCAAGAGTACAGCGACAAAGAAGTCACAAGTTCGGCCTTTTTACCGTCGAGAAGGATAATTACAAGGCTTATAAACGCTTGCTCTCCGGTGGAAAATGAAGAAACTGCAGCAGACCAGGAAGATGAGGATAGCGCCATGGCCTGGAAGCGGCTTCGACCGTCTTTTTTGCAAACAGTTTGTAAATCCTTGTACATTGGAGCTTTGATCACTTTTCTAGCTGCTATAATCATTGGTATATTTTTCCTGCTGATTGTTTACCTCTGTTTTAAAACTATCCTCAATTGTGCACATTACCCAAGCAAACTAATCCCAGTCCCTGTCCAATGGACGAGAACAATTTCTGATGCGATTTCGGTCGTTTTCTACTACATCTGGCTTTTTGTCAATCTGTCGTTTCTTTTCCGTTCCTATCAGCTAAAAGGACTAAAGAAAAAACTGATGTTAGTTTCCTTATCAATGTATTGTTTGGACACACTTTACCGTGTTGTCTTGCAAGTTATGGGGATGCCCTATTACTTGGCGCCTGTTATATACCAAATCCCAATTTATACCTGTCTCTTCACCAGTATATGTTTACAGCTCTTCCTTGTCGTGAGACTCTTGTGCGTGCGATCAAGAAAGCAACGCCTAACTTTCATGTGTAAAATGACGACACCGACCTTTCTGATGATGATTACTAGTGTTTTAATATCCGATTACCTTTATGCAGCGTATCTCAAACAAAACAACAAAGGAAGACTGGCCATTGCTCTGTTCGCTCCTCTTTCTGGGCTCGCTTTAAAAATAGTATCACGAATTTGTGCTCAGCGGTTGTGGAATATTACCCATCCGGGATATTCGTATGTGCTTTTGGCACCTTGCTATTACGGGACTGCCATTATTTTTCGAATTTTGCAAGCTGATCTTGACAGTTTGAAATCCATTGCTATTCTTGGTATAATTCACGGCGCGGCCGAAGTCGTGGAGCGAAGTGCCATGGTTGTGATTGATCATATTTGTCATGTGGTGTGCAAGAGAGAGTCAGCTCCTTGGGGACATTTTCGTACTCCTCGACGAGAAAGACTAATGGCTGATATCGCTATCATGAGCATGTTGTCCGAGTCTACTGCTATAGTGTCAGTTAATGGATTCATATACTTGTATCAATTTATCTACTTGGAAAACAGCTCCCTTTTAGAGTTGCTTCAGCCTTTTGCTGTTCACACTTCAGTTCAGCTGGTGATCGAGTGGTTTTTCACTAGCGTGTCTCTTGCTATCGAGGCTCGTTACCAGAACATGGCAGTAATGGCTGTCTGGAGACGAAGATGGAAAAGACATGTCTTGGTAGCGTTTTACAATACACTACCTTTAGCTGTATGGAATAGCTCTTGCCTGTTGATGCTTTTAAGGGCTCGCTTTGGCTTAAACATTAACAAGCGCTGCAATATGCCGTTTACTTGAGAGTTGGGCGTGGCCTGTCGACTCTACTTTCTTTAGCCATGTTTCTCAGATTTGTATATTCATGTATGTTCTTATCAGTTTCTAAACAGTATAACGAACATTATGTCAACGGATTTTGTCAAAATTGTTATTTTTTTTCTGCGTAGTCGCCGATACAATATTAGACTGCGAGTAGTCCATCTTTCGCTTAGTCCATCGTGCGTGACGCCAAAGAAAACCGCGAGAGAAAACAAAAATAGCCGCGCTGAAAGAGAGATCTACTCGTAGTCTAATACAATATTCCGCAAATAAACAGGGAAGTAACTTAAGTTTTTGGGACGCAGAGCCTTGTATTTACTGGAAACTACACAGCGTTTTAGTATGACGGCTGCCATGTTTACGTTACCAAACAATTTTCCCTCCTTCAGGATAGAGGTGTAAGAGAGGCCATTTATATCTGAAACTCTAAGTCGTTCCCCAATGCAGACGGGGTAAGATGGAAAGAGGTATTTGTGTGGAACCGTCGTTTTGCAAGATGAATACGGTGGAAAACTGGCGCCGAGATTATTCCGCGAACACTGAGCAAAATGAACAAGTCGACAGATTTGGACGAAAGCTCTATTTTTAAGAAATGTCTCTTCTGACATATTTCCAACTTAATAAATATCACGTTTTTTAAGTTTACGACGAAGTGGAAACAAATAAATTAGTTAAAAGGAGCTTCAATCATTCCGAAAATACCGTTACATCACCAATTCAAACAGAGATGTTGATCTTTCTCTTCTTCATGCCCGCCTTGAAAACATCTTTGACTTCTTGGCCTCGCTGTCTTATTCCTTTCGATTGACTCTCATTCAAATTTCGGAATCATTGAACCCCAACGTTTACCCATACACCCTGCTAGAAAGCCTGTTCACAGGCTCGTGTGTGCATGTATACATTAAGATCATGTAAACGCGTTTGTAGTCCATGTTTTGAGACGCTTCTATGTTCATTGGAAACGTCGCAAAGTATGTTTAACAGATTACCAGGCCCTTGGGCGTAATAAGAGTGACTTTCCAGGAGCGAAACCACTTGTAGATTAGGGCTTAACAGGAGCTTGAACCACTCGAACGCACATTGTAATTCAAAGAAACCAGGTCACAGTAAAATCAATCGTTAGCGTTTATTGGGAAGGAGCGATGAATCATCAATATAGAAATCAGAATAACAAAATAGAGATGAACTTGTGATGTGAAGTCATAGTAACGGTTGTGATTGTGTGGTTCGAACTAAAAGCAAAACGATACAAAAGGCTCATGTAAGCTAATACTAGTTAAGATACAAAACATAAATCAAGGATACCGATGGAACGTAAATCTTAAACTATAACGACACGATTACAACTAAAATATATGTAGCTTTGATGTTGATCCTGCGAGGGTAGCAATGGTAGAAACGATAGCTTAGCACGATAGCGATGGCAGCGATAGCATAAAATAATGATGAAAAGAATTCAGGGGTAGTTTTTGGCGTTAACTGTTTGCTGTTTGCTCTAACCGTCATGCTTTACCTCTCTATTGTTCTATTTTATTTTCTCAGGCCATGCAAGAAGCCATGATGGAAAGTAAAGCGAGAAAGTTTTACCTTTATTCCGGACACGATTACACAGGTAGTTTTGCTTCAAATTGCGTTTTCTGACGATTTTGATTATTATAACTGGGCTACTGAATCAACAGCGCACAAAAACGACCCAGTAACAGCAAACCAACGTGCTACATATAGCGTCGAGTAGCAGGGCTGCCAAGGGTCAGGAAATGATCAAGGAAAAAAATTCTTCAAGGTCAGGGAAAAGTCAGAGAGTTTTATTTCGAGTCAGGGAAAATTGATTTTTTTGAAGAAAAACCAGGGAAAATTGAAATAATTTAATACGGCTGATTTAAATACCATTGAAGGCTGGAAGACACATTTGCGGTGGCCGGGGTCTGTGCGATGTTTTTCCTTAATGAAAAAGGAAAATTTGTTGAAAACTTATTAGTCTTAAAGAATGGGTGGAAAGGGCAGCTGTAAGGGAAGGCTTGAAGCCAATACTATATCTGACATTTTGTATTTATCTGGTCAGGGAAATTTTATTTTTATCAGGGAAAAGTCTGGGAAAAAACAAGGAATTTTGAAAAGCGGTGTCTGTGGCAACCACACGTAATCATTCGACCTCCTCGCCTGATGAAGACGAGCAGTGTAGCAATCGAAACGTCGGCTTGCGATTAACTATTGATAGCGCCCGGGGGTGTTACTCCCGGGGGTGTTACTCCTGGGGGTGTTACTCCCGGAGGTGTTACTCCCATGTGAAAGGGTCGGGATGCTCGTCGTCTCGCCTAGGGGTATAAATCATGGATTTTGGTCTCACTTAGGGTTTTCAGGACGAAACGTCACTATTTTTATCCCTGACTCTATAACTTGAGCCAAGTGACTAAACGTGCTTTTATCTGGATAACCCCGGCGAACTATGACCACATCTTTTATCACCGGAGTCCTTTAAAACACACTGACTTGGCCTCACAATGCCGGAAATCCTCTTTCTGAGGACCTAGATTTTAAAAATGTTCCGAGGAAGGATTCCTCCGAAGCCCCCCTAAAGGGGATAACCTTCAGCGGTCCGTGTTTCGAACCCCTTACTGTAAAATCCTGTATCCTCCCCTGCAGCCAGCTCATTATGTTCTTCTTATTGTCTTCAGTCATGCCATTGCTTCAAGCGTTCAACGCCAGTGACTACAAGTGGAGCCCGTACGCCTCCATGGTTCAGCTGGAGTTGCTGGAAGTCAACAATGGTACCAACACTGATTACGCCGTCAGACTGCTGTACCACGGNGTCTGTGGCAACCACACGTAATCATTCGACCTCCTCGCCTGATGAAGACGAGCAGTGTAGCAATCGAAACGTCGGCTTGCGATTAACTATTGATAGCGCCCGGGGGTGTTACTCCCGGGGTGTTACTCCTGGGGGTGTTACTCCCGGGGGTGTTTTTCCCGGGGGTGTTACTCCCATATCAAAGAGTCGGGGATGCTCGTCGTCTCGCCTACGGGTATAAATCAGGGATTTTGGTATCACTTAAGGTGTTGTCTGACTCTATAACTTGAGGCAAGCGACTAAACGTTCTTTTATCAGGATAACCACGGCGAACTATGACCACATCCTTTATCACCTAGACTGCAAAACAGTCGTTTTCGGACGTTTTCGGAAGGCGCGAAGCGCCGTAAGCGTGATCCTCGCGTGTGAAGCGCGCTAGCCTCACTTATACTCGCTCCAGACCTTTCGTTCGAATATTGACCGTCGCACGTGTCCGCACAAATGCGACTGTTTTGCAGTCTATTTATCACCGGAATCCTTTATAACACGCTGACTTGTCCTCAGAATGCCGCAAATCCTCTTTCCGAGGACATCAGTTGTAAAGATGTTCCGGGGAAGGATGCCTCCGGAACCCCTCTAAAGGGGACGGCCTTCGGCGGTCCGTGTCTCGAACCCCTTTCTGTAAAATGCTGTATCCGCCCCTGCAGCCAGCTCATTATGTTCTTCTTTTTGTCTTAAGTCATGCCATTGCTCCAAGCGTTCAACGCCAGTGACTACAAGTGGAGCCCGTACGCCTCCATGGTTCAGCTGGAGTTGCTGGAAGTCAACAATGGTACCAACACTGATTACGCCGTCAGACTGCTGTACCACGGACAGGAGAGAATTATCCCCTACTGCCGCAGTTCCCCGTGCTCGCTGGCTCAGTTCAGCGACTACATCAAGGAAATTGTTTCATCGGACCCTAAAACAGATTGCGAGTTGACC